ACGCCGATTTTTTGACGCGAATGAGTGCATTTCAATTAATTAATATTAATAAATATAAATTAATATTATTATTTATTTATTTATTTATTTATTTATTTACAGGTACATACGATGTAGGCAAGGGTGTGGTGTGGGCATGCGACTGTACGCTGGACTCATCCCGCCTCATTGCTGCATCCGCAGATCAAAAAATCTTAATTTTTGATGTATGTACAGCAGCACTTCTTCATGAAATACCTGAGCAAGGGACGTGCAGGTTAGTGCTTCTATTTCTCCTAATAAGGCTGCTGCTAACGCTGCTGCTAACGCTGCTGCTAGCGCTGATGCTGTTGCTGCTTATGCTGTTGCTACTTATGCCGTTGCTGCTGCTGAGGTTGCTGCTGCTGCTGAGGATGTGCTGTTGCTGGTGCTGATGCTTCTGCTGTTCATGCTGAGGCTGTTGCTCATGCTGCTGCTGATGCTGCTGCTTATGATGGTTTTAGGGCTTAGGGTTTAGGGTTTAGGGTTTAGGGTTTAGGGTTTAGGGTTTGCGGTTTAGGTTCGTGGAGTGGTGCCGCATGCCCACGCAGCAAAATAAATTTGTTTTGGCCCATGACGACTTCAGGGGCAGTCAGAAGTCGATTAAAGTTTGGAAGGTCCTAAACCCTAAACCCTCACAAACCCTAAACCCTCACAAACCCTAAACCCTAGACCCTTGTAAACCCTAAACCCTCATAAACCCTAAACCACCAAAGATGAAGCTTGAACCGAATCCATTTCTTTCTGACTATGTTCCTGACGGCTTCATGCTCTTACCTTTCTGCCTCTATGAGGGGCTGCTAAGGTTTAGGGTTTAGGGTTTAGGGTTTAGGGTTTAGGGTTTGTGGTTGCAGGTAGACGGAGAAACCCCCAAGAGGCTGTGGGTGCAAGACGACTTTGCTAGTCGCTGCGTACAGGTTCACTGGGGCCCCTTCGACGAAACAATTATCTCAACGCATGAGAATGGTGATATCATGGTATAAACCCTAAACCCTAAACCCTAAACCCTCATAAACCCTTATTAACCCTAAACCCTCATTCACACTAAACCCTCATAAACCCTAAACCCTCATAAAACCTTATCAGACGCCCTAAGCCATCGCAAGCAGCACCAACTCAGAGCCGCGTCTGAGAGTGACGCGGGCCTTTTGAGGGGCGGCAAGGGTTTAGGGTTTAGGGTTTAGGGTTTAGGGTTTGTGCAGATATGGGATTCGAGCAACGGGGAGTATATCAGCGAGTTGAGGGGGCACAAGTCTTACATTACCTGCATGAGTTTCACTGAAGACAGAATGCTTGCGCTAACCGTATGCTGCTGCTGCTGCTGCTGCTGCTGCTGCTCTTATAGCATCTGCTGCTCTTGCTGCTGCTGCTCTGGTTCGTGCTGCTGGTGCATCTGCTGCTCCTGCTCTTTCTGCTGCTTACGCTGCCGCTGCTTCCCTTACCCTTTCTGCTGCTGATGCTGCTGCTGGAGTTGCTGCTGTTGCTGCTGCTGCTGCTGCTGAGCTTGTTGGTCTGTCGCTGCCACTGATAGAGAGAGGTTTGCAGCTGCTTCTGCTGTCCCCTTTTGTTTGCTGCTGTTGATGCTGCTGCGCCCTCAAATGTTCTTGTTGCTGCTCTTGCTGCTGCTGCTGCTGCAGAGCTGCTCTGACGGTACTGCGAAGCTGTGGTCTACTAAGGATTGGGAATGCCTGAAGGTGAGAGATGTCTCCTCAGTCTCTGCTGTCTCCTTTTGTTTGCTGCTGCTGTTGCTGCTGCTGCTGCTGCTGCTGTTTGTGTTTTCTATTGTGTTTCCTGCTGTCTCTGTCTCCTTTTGCGTTGACTAGTGTGCGACTGTCTCCTACTCCGTTTGCTGCTGCTGCTTCTACATTTGCTGCTGCATGCACTCCTGCATCTGCTGCTACAATTGCTGCATCTGCTGCTGCATCTCCTACACCATGTGCTGCTGCATGTTCTGCATCTGCTGCTGCATGATTATCTGCTGCTTCATCTGCTGCTACATCTGTTGCTTCATCTGCTGCTCTGCTGCTTAATCTGCTGCTTAATCTGCTGCTCCCGCTGCTGCTGCCACATCTGCTGCCTCATCTGCTGCCACATCTGCTGCTACATCTGCTGCCACATCTGCTGCTACATCTGCTGCTGCTACATCTGCTGCTGCTGCTGCTGCTGCAGACGTACACGACAGACCGTCCTTTGAATGCATGCGGTCTGAGTCCCCTTCTGACGCATCCGGGAGCCGACAGGAAGCTGCATCTTCTTCTTGGGGGCGGCCAGGCAGCAGAAGATGTGACAACCACAGGTATATTTAAATATATATATATATATTATAATATTATATGTTTAATATGTTTAATATGTTTAATATATTATATATAATATATAATATATATTATATATAATATATATTTAATATATAGTTAATATAGTTAATATAGTTAATATAGTTAATATATTTATTATATGTTATATATATATATATATATAG